TGACGTTGATATTCTACCCGAATTCTTGATTCTAGACATAAGTTATCTTCTCAAGAATAACTTATGAAAATAGGAAAAATTACCCAAAATAATCCCAACTTTACCCGGTCTTTCAAAAATAATCCCACCTTTCACTGTGACGCATAATAATCCCAACTTTATTGAAATTTGCCAGTTTTGGGTCGCCGTTAAGTTTCTAATGGAGGGTTAACGGAAATGCCCGTTTTAGGCAACAAAATGAAAGTTGGGATTATTTTTGATGAATTTTTGTTTTTTAATTTTTTTTTGAAATTTTTATTTAAAATTTTTGAAGATTATTCTTACCTTAGAAAAAATAGATATAAAAAATAATGAAAATGAGAAAAATAACTAAAACCATACAAAATTAATCAAATAAATAATGTAATCAATAGAAATTAAACAGAAACTGGTAAGAAATAAAATAAATATATACGGAGCGGTGGGTTTTAACATTTTACACACTATACGGAGTCTTAATGTACTACTTCTTCCGTCCCAGAGTATTTGTCCACTTTCATTTTTACACACCATCCAATACACTTCTTTAATCCATTTTATGTTGTAATTTGTATATATTAAATAATTATAGAAATTATATATTAATAATCTATATGCTAAGACAAATCAAACAAAATCACACATGACTATATTTAGGCTTACACATTGAGAAAAAATTGATGAGTCAAAGTGCTTTGATGAACAGTACCAAAAGTCAAAAGTGGATGAATATAGCGGGACGGAGGGAGTACTTATTTTTTAAAAGAACAAGCCGTCCGGTAAAGTTGGAATTATTTTAGATAATTTTTTCTAAAAAATAAGAAGTGATATGTTAAAACTTTGTATAATGCGTAAAATATTAAACCCACCCGTATATTTTTATTTTACTTTTACCAATTTCAAGTTAGTTTCCATTGATTACCTTATTTGTTTTATTATTTTTGTATCATTTTAGTTACATTTCTCATTTTTTCATTTTTTATATCTATTATTTTTATTTTTTAAACTAAGACTAATCTTTAAAAAAGGAAAAAGAAATGACCATGGAGGTAGAAAGTAATTTAAAAAATTCAAATGAAAAATTTTAAAAAAAATAAAAAAAAATGAAAATTCATCAAAAATAATCCCAACTTTCATTTTGTTGCCTAAAATGGGCATTTACGTTAACCTTCCGTTAGAAACTTAACGGCGACCCAAAACTGACAAATTTCAGTAAAGTTGGGATTATTATGCATCACAGTGAAAGGTGGGATTATTTTTGAAAGACCGGGTAAAGTTGAGATTATTTTGGGTAATTTTTCCAAGAAAATAAAACCAAATGTTTGGGGATCCTAAACCATAAAATAGTTTTAAAACGCATGGGGGAGGGGTGGGGGGAGAATGTTATCAGTGTTATTGTAGGTTTTGTGAAATCAAGTCGGGAAAAAGGTTTATACATCCCATATGAATTTGGCACCATCTGGTCTAGGACTATCCTGAAGTTCCAAAGAAGACAATTCTGAATGATTTTATGTTTTGCAATGACATTGAACAAAAATCAAGGTCGAATATTGTCATTTATTGAATTATTTTGACCATGTCAGTGTTCACTCATGATCAGTTTTATGTTTCTATTTCATAAGTTAATACAAAGACACGATTAAAAATATTTTTTCTAGATGAAAATGAAAATCCTTACAACCATACCAAAAATATTTTACACCCTGAGGTTTTTTAGGAAATTTAGTATTAAAAGAAACTATGTTAAGTACTTTGTCTCTTACTGAAATTTTTTTCAAAAAACAAAGATTGTGTTCAACTCGTGCATGACACGGGTCAAAATGCTAGTGGGATAAAACCCATGATTTTAATCCATTACAATTGTATTTGACCAAGATTACAAAAAAATATTGAATTTCATAAGAAAAATCATCGTATATATCACATAGAGATCGATCACAAAAACATGTAATCAGGATTTAAGAAGGCACATATGCATCATATACATATAGAGAAAATCTAATGTTATTTTCTATATTTTAAATGCACATGATTGATGTTTTGTTGATATTATAAGTGGATAAGAACCTAAAGAAAGTAGACGCTGGATGTTAGCGGCTAAAACAAGCTAAGGGGCTGTTTATTTCAGCCTCTTAATGGTTCAGATGTCTGAATGATTCAACACTTAATGGTTCAGACTATTTGTTTCAATCTCTTAATGGTTCAGATGTCTGAATGGTTAAGAGATTTGCCTCTAAATGGTTAAGAATTATACAGAGTCTGAATGGTTAAGACCTCTTATCTGAATTGATCAGACATTTGCCTCTAAATAGTTAAGCAGTATACTAGCTCTTAATGGTTCAGACCTCTTACTGGTTCAGCACTTAATGGTTTAGACCTCTTACTGGTTCAGCACTTACCGATTCAGAAGTTGCCAAACAGCCCCTAAGAATGGAGCGGAGGAGCGGCGACTTCTCCCTTCGTCAAAATTGACCAGCGATAAATATGTTGTAAACTGAGTATTTTATTCGTTATAGATCGAGATATTTATGCATACACGAAATGAGGTAAAATCTAGGTAAACAAGGAAACAAAGATTCTAAATGATATGTGTAATGTATCTGCCACATACTCCCTCTATCCCTGAAAATTTTTCTCTTTTCCTTTTTCATCCGTCCCAAAAAATACTTCTTATTTTTATTAAAAAGTTAGTTTTGTTTCTTACTTTTTCATACCCTATCTATCACATCGTACATTTTTACTAATAATATATCCATCAAATCCTAGTTTTACGTATTACATCAAAAGACTTTTTTTGGAAATTTAATACTAAAATACACTACCCTTAAACCTCTTAAAAATCAATAACTCCCATGTTTTTAGGACTGTGGAAATATTTAATAGGAACAACGCTATAAACTACTCCCTCCATCCTATAATGATCTTCCCAGAGCACTATTCCAACTTCACGGGAATTTATATTTATTTGTGTTTTTTCATGGCCTATATGGTAAAATAAAATATTCTTGTCACCACTTGTTTTGTTGAACTTTTGATGTAGTTTTTAAATATGTATGTTTTATTTTTTATTTCTATACCAATGTTTAAATAAAATAGATTGAAAAAACTTGAGATTTTTCTTCGTTTTGCGAACCGGGAAGATCATTATAGGACGGAGGGAGTATGTAATACTCCGTATTTCATTAATAAAAGGAGAAAATTTAACATGCTTAAAAAATCTATAGAGTTGAAAAAAATAAAAAAATAAAAAATAAAAAATAAAAAAATTGAACCACCATGGCAAAACGAGGCGCTGCAATGGTGCCTGCCGCTCGCCCTCGTCTGCACCGCATGCCCGCCTAGAACCCCTGCATCCGACCCGTGAATTCGTGATGTGGCTTCGGGCGCTCCTCACCGATTTGCAGTGCTACCCACCGCTCGCCCCGCCTCTTCTCGCATCGCGGCAGAAGCCCCCTCCCCAATTGTAAATGCTTCCAAGTTGTAATTTTTTTTCATCTAATGAATTTTTTTCTTTGAATATAAGTTAAAGTTTTTTTTTTAAAAAATTTTTTGAGTAAATTCCATAATTGGTCCTTTATAACAAAGAGGTTTCCATATTTAGTCCTCTATTATCAAATATTACTCACGTAGTCCTTTTTTAAGGGTGTCTTTCCACAAATGGTCCTTTTTTGATCTGCTGCCATTTTGGTGTTGATTTAAAGACTAAAAGTATAATTTTACATCAACATTATGTCTAGTGATGTGTTCTGATATCGGTTAAGCGGATAACACAAAAATAATAACTATGACTGTAGGCTAGGATTCCGACGAAAGATCACATTTGTAGACTATAGTTGTAGTAGAAAGTGACTATAATTCACAAATGACGCAAACGGAACAACCTTTGGAATTGTTTATGACAAAAAAAGATATATTATCATTGTGAAATTACACTTTTAGCTCTCAAATTAACACCAACATGATAGAAGATCAAAAAAGTACTATTTGTGAAAAGATACCCATAAAAGAAGGACCACTAGGATAATACTCCCTCCGTCCTAAATCAACCTTCCCACGTTGACTATATGCCATTTTTAAGAGAGTGTAAAATATGCATTGACTTTACCAAGGTGCCCCTAAAGTCTCCCACTTCACCCAACAATGCACAGATCTAAAAACACTCGTACCCATGGAGAAGCTCGCGCAGACCTCAAATCTCAGAGCCAAAATCAGAGATCTGGCGTCCGTGTGGCCAGTCCGATCGGCAGATTCAGCCGGAGAGGTGCCGCCGCTGCCGCCATGCGACTCGAACAGGTGTGGGAGTTGCCGGAAGAAGATGGGGCTGGTGGCGTTCAATTGCAAGTGCGGGTTCACCTTATGTGTGGCCCATCGCTACCCTGAGACGCACAATTGCAATTTTGATTTCAAGGCCGCGGGTCGGGTCGCCATTGATAGGGAAAATCCTCCTGTGATTTGGACTTGATCAACTGGATCCCAAACGGGCATGCATCGATTCTCCTAGAGGTACCAAGATATCGCCGGAAACAAAGATTCCATTTCCTCAGCTTCCAGTCATCGTCAATGAAGTGTGCCGATAGACAAGCGAAATCGGGGATCTAGGATTTGGGGGGGAAGAGAGACAGAGAGGGTAGATTGAGAGATGAGAGACGGAGGATGGTTGAGGCGTTGGGGAATATATGATGTAAGGGTATAGTAGTCACTTTACACCCTTTTTTGAAAGTGGGAAGATAATTTTAGGACGGAAAAAAGGAGAAGTGGGAAGATAATTTTAGGACGGGGGAGTATTTGATAATAGAGGACTAAATAGGGAAACCCCTCTGTTATAAAGCACCAATGAAATTTACTCTAAAATTTTTATGGGTGTGATTTATTTAATTTGATTAAAAAAGGGTACAAGTACAACACACCAAAAACCCTGCCATTTCGTGTTTCCTCTTTATATTGCCCGCCCTCGTGGAAACCGCTATATATTCATAGCGAAACACGCACATTTCGGTGACTCTGTGCGTGAGAGAGAAACCCCCCTGAACCAGACGCCATCGCCGGAGACCTTGATCGTCTTCCGACTTCAGCCGGAAACCCTACCTAGTTCGCCATGGATGCCGGGTCGGCTCAGTTCCAACAGCAAGCGCAGGTCGCCGCGATCATGGGGACCGACCCGGCGGCGTTCGAAACCCTAATCTCTCACCTCATGTCTTCCTCCAACGAGCAGAGATCGCAGGCCGAGTCCATCTTCAACCTCCTCAAGCAGAGCGATCCAAACGCCCTCGTTCTGCGGCTCGCGCACGTCCTCAGCTCGTCCGTCCACGTCGAAGCCCGCGCCATGGCTGCTATTCTCCTCCGGAAGCTCCTCACCAGGGACGATTCGTTTATCTGGCCGAATCTAACCCCGTCCACTCAGTCTGGCGTCAAATCTACGCTCCTAACTTGTGTCCAGATGGAGGAGGCCAAGACGATCACCAAGAAGCTTTGCGACACTATATCTGAGCTCGCCTCCTCCATTTTGCCAGAGAATCAGTGGCCTGAAATATTGCCTTTCATGTTTCAATGCGTTACCTCAGATTCTCCCAAGCTGCAGGAGTCTGCTTTCCTGATCTTCGCTCAGTTGGCGCAGTTCATTGGCGAGACCCTGGTTCCCTATATCAAGGATTTGCATTCCGTCTTCCTGCAGACCCTGAATAATTCACCACATTCTGATGTCAGGATTGCAGCTTTGAGCGCCGTCATCAATTTTATTCAGTGTTTAACTAGCTCCACCGAAAGGGACCGATTTCAGGATCTGTTGCCATCTATGATGAAGACATTGACCGAGTCTCTGAATAGTAGTCAGGAGGTAACAGCTCAGGAGGCATTGGAATTGCTAATCGAGTTGGCCGGGACTGAACCAAGATTCTTGAGGAGGCAGCTTGTGGATGTTGTAGGATCAATGCTCCAGATAGCCGAGGCTGAGAGTTTGGAGGAAGGGACCAGGCATCTGGCTATTGAGTTTGTTATTACTCTGGCAGAGGCAAGGGAGAGGGCCCCTGGGATGATGAGAAAACTGCCCCAGTTCATTAGCAGATTGTTTGCAATATTATTGAAAATGTTGCTTGATATTGAAGATGAGCCTGCGTGGCATTCGGCAGACGCGGAAGATGAGGATGCTGGTGAAACCAGTAATTACAGTGTTGGGCAGGAGTGCTTAGACCGTTTAGCCATAGCACTAGGTGGAAATACCATTGTACCTGTTGCGTCAGAGCAGCTTCCTGCTTACTTAGCTGCTCCAGAATGGCAGAAACACCACGCAGCCCTCATTGCACTCGCCCAGATTGCCGAAGGCTGCTCAAAGGTATTTTGAAATGTTTTTTGTAGCTCTTTGTAGCAATGAATATTTGTTGTGTTTGATCCTGCATAGTAACCAATTGTTATGTTGTTAGGAGACTGGGGACCTTTAATGCGTCTTTATTTATTTATTTATTTATTTTACAAGTATAAAATTTCAATGTTTTGATTAGGACCAGCTTCTCACTAGCACGTAATCATTTTAATACTATCTACTTCTAGGATGAAATGCATATGTGGTATCTTGTAGTTTTGATTTCCTTTTGTCATCTGGATGATTAAGCTGAACATCAGGTGTGCTCTGCTGATATAGGTGATGGTTAAGAATTTGGAACAAATAGTGACTATGGTTCTGAGTTCATTTCAAGATCCTCATCCACGGGTTAGATGGGCCGCCATTAATGCAATAGGTCAGTTGTCTACTGACTTGGGACCAGATCTGCAAATGCAGTACCATAGCCGAGTATTGCCAGCCCTGTCTACAGCTATGGATGACTTCCAGAATCCACGAGTACAGGTTGGTCATTTTAAGTTTTACTCATGTCCTGGTAAGAAGTATGTATATTTCTAAAATTCTTGTGCTATGTATGCCCAATAAAAACCTTTTATTTTTGAAAGTTTAAATTCCATCTAGAGACCCAATGCTTGCAGTCATTTATTGTCATTTCAAATCCTTTATTACAACTCACAAGGATTCAAGATAGATAACACTAGATACAACAACTAGCTTTAATCCCAAATTGATAGGGTCATATTGGCACTTCTCCGTACCTCCGTGTCTCGGCAAATTATCGTCTGCTTTTGATTTACTTGGTCATTTGTTCACTCTGATTACACAGGCACATGCAGCTTCAGCTGTCCTTAACTTCAGTGAGAACTGCACACCTGAAATCTTGACGCCCTACTTGGATGGAATTGTTAGCAAACTGCTTGTACTCCTGCAGGTATTAAATTAAAAAAATGAACCCATTCAGACTTTTTATTAATGCTGAATAAGCAAAACTTTGCATAAAAAAATATTATGATGCTTCCTTGTTGAAATTTGATTGATAAATGACATTATTACTCAACCATCCAGAATGGCAAGCAAATGGTGCAAGAAGGAGCATTAACTGCATTGGCATCTGTTGCTGATTCATCACAGGTATTGCCTTCAATTATACTGTATTTTTATTGTTATTAGTTTGCATTTTTTTATGGGAAATATGTTTACATGAAATGTGTCAATAGGAGTACTTCCAAAAATACTATGATGCTGTAATGCCCTACTTGAAGACCATCCTTGTTAATGCAAATGACAAAACCAGCCGCATGCTCCGGGCCAAAGCCATGGAGTGCATTAGCTTGGTTGGGATGGCTGTTGGGAAAGAAAAGTTTAGAGATGATGCTAAGCAGGTATTATGTGGATTCATACCTAAACTTTTCAGATTTACATCATGCATGTATGTTTACTTCAATTATGAGTTGACTGCCTTATTTGTAGTCAATGGCCTGTAAATTTCTATGCACTAGTTGCAATTTGTTTTTTCTTACTTTCTCCATTCACTTCACTTCTTATTACAGAGAGGAGGAGTGGTACATTTTCTAATTAAAACTTTGTCAGTGATCGACTGATATTGGAAAAAATCACTAACTACCCACATTTTTGTTACCTTTTGTCTTTATTAAGGTCATGGAAGTGCTTATGTCATTACAAGGAGCACAATTGGACAGTGATGACCCTACTATTAGCTATATGCTCCAAGTAATCATTTATATACTTATTTATAAATATCATGTGATGTGATGCAAAATAAACTTAATTGTACATTTTTCCTAATCCACAATTTTCTCTTTGTTGCTTAACATTATTAGGCATGGGCTAGACTATGCAAGTGCCTGGGACAAGATTTTCTTCCTTATATGAGTGTAGTAATGCCACCATTGCTTCAGTCTGCTCAGCTTAAACCTGATGTGACTATAACCTCGGCTGATTCAGACAATGAAATTGAAGAATCAGATGATGAAAGGTCCTCTTCTAGTTTCATCAAAACATTCTCATAGTTTTTGCACTTTTGTTGATATCCACTGATGAGGCTTTTATGTGTGAAATGATTTTCATTTCATCATAATATCTTTCCAGTGTGTTGTCTGAAATTAGATGCATCTTTGAGTAATTTTTTAAATTCAGTTGACACAAATTTGTAAATTCACTAAATTGAATCAGAAGCATTGTTTTTTATCGAATGCAAATAGTTGTATTGATAAAAAGTATTGATTTTATTTTACTCCATATGAAACTTTATATTGCATAATAAATATGCTTAAATCTTTTAATGCTGCAGCATGGAGACTATTACTCTTGGGGATAAAAGAATAGGGATAAAAACAAGTGTTCTTGAGGAAAAGGCTACTGCTTGTAATATGCTATGTTGTTATGCTGATGAGTTGAAGGAAGGCTTTTACCCATGGATTGATCAGGTCAGTATTCGTTAATCTATCAATTTCCAATTTCTTCTTTGTATGTTTTGTAGATTAACAAGCATTTCTGAAACTTCAAACAGGTTGCTCCAACGTTGGTCCCTCTTCTGAAATTCTATTTCCATGAAGAAGTCAGGAAAGCTGCTGTTTCAGGTGCAATCCCTAATAATATGTTATACTGCTGCTCTAACTGTAATGCACCTGTGTGTTTGGCATAACTCAATTGTTATCTGTTTATAGCCATGCCACAGTTGTTACATTCGGCAAAGCTAGCCGTTGAAAAGGGACTCGCTCAAGGCCGTAATGAGACATATGTCAAACAATTGTCCGACTATATAATACCCGCTTTGGTTGAAGCTTTGCATAAGGTGATGATTAATTGTCATTACTCATTCCCTACCTGTTTAGGAAGGTTTAAACATTAGATACTGATATTTTACTTGCAATTGCTTCCAGGAACCTGATACCGAAATATGTGCAAACATGTTGGATGCATTGAATGAATGTTTGCAGGTTGTTCAATCTCACATGAATGCCCAATTACTGCATTATGAAAGTCAACTAAATATCAATAAACTATCATTTTTATCAAATAGTTTTACATTGTTTGCCTCACATCGGTGATTCTCTTTTGGCTGTCTTCTTCCAGATCTCTGGACCTCTCCTAGATGAAGCTCAGGTTCGAAGCATTGTGGATGAAATTAAACAGGTTATTACCGCCAGTTCAAGTCGGAAAAGTGAACGTGCAGAGAGAGAAAAAGCTGAAGATTTTGATGCAGAAGAAAGCGAATTGCTAAAAGAGGAAAATGAGCAGGAAGAAGAAGTTTTTGACCAAGTATGTTTAAAATGATACGATTCTTTTGGGGACTTTACTTTGAAAGCTGACTGAAATATTTGGCTCTTTGCCTTTTTACCCCATTAATTTTCACATTTTATTGGCCACTAGGTTGGTGAAATCATGGGTACATTGATAAAGACATTCAAGGCTTCTTTCTTGCCGTTCTTTGATGAACTTTCATCTTATCTAATGCCTATGTGGGTAAGTAGTTCCATGTTAACTTTTAGTAAGCTCTATTTAACGAGTCATTTGTTTTATTTGTACATGCGATATAAACAGATATAATTTTTGAAAAGGGTATTAAGGTATTTGACTAAAGATAACCTGTGGACCAGGCCAGGCCCCGTCCCAGTTGGCCTAACACTCCTTATTCAAGGCCAGTCAACAACTTTAATGCTTATTGGCTTGCCAGGCCTTAACACGTCTTAAAATTAATTTTAAAACTATTGTCTATATATAATATCTAATAGAATGTTTATATATTCACTTATTTACATATGTATTTGTTGTACAAATAAACATGTTATAGTATTATACTCCCTTTATCCCAAAAAAACTTGTGTGCAGTTTGACTAGGCACAACTTGTTATCAAGTGAAAAATAAGATTGAGTTTTATGTGGAGCTGAGAAAAAAATTAAGCCACAATTTTTTTGTTTATAGAAATGAACACATCTTTTTGGGACAAACAAAAACAGAAAACGTGTGAGGAAAGTATTGATATGGTTCAAATTATGCTCTCTATTCTTTTTTATCATCTCCTTTCCTTCTAAGCAAAAAAATTGAATGGTTCAAATAATTTCTCATCATAAATCTTGAATGAATTTTATCTTTCGCAAACTCCAGGCAATGTCAAAATGGAAACCGTAAGAAGGTTCAAGGGAGTACAACTTAAGCATAAAGTTATTTACTAGGATCATAATACATATTGCTAATTGATCAAAAGTGAATTTCTTTGAAGTGCATTTACACAGTAATGTACTTCATTTCAATTAAAAATAGAGGATTGAAAGTCCGATCCTGGCCATGGCCACCTTTAACAGTGACGAAACATATATTTATGCTTATTTGTTTACTTGCTACAATTGTAGGGTAAAGACAAAACTGCTGAAGAGAGACGGATAGCAATTTGCATCTTTGATGATGTTGCGGAGCAGTGTCGCGAAGCAGCTTTGAAGTATTTATTCTATGCATATTTGAGCGATATTCTTTTATTTTCTGAAAATTATACAATTGTAACAACTTGTTTGTGTGTGATCCAGATACTATGATACATATCTTCCTTTCCTTTTAGAAGCCTGTAACGATGAGGGTCCAGATGTCAGACAGGTATTGAGACCTCTTCAATCACAATATTCGAGTTATGTTTTAATATCATGGTATTAACACCACAGGTGTTATTTCCAGGCTGCTGTTTATGGACTTGGTGTGTGTGCAGAATTTGGTGGTTCAGTTTTCAAACCCCTTGTTGGAGGTATGCCATACGATATTCTTGTACATGTGATGGCAGTACATTCTCATCATGTTTCTTTTACTTTTACTTCTTTTTTTGGTTTGGGGGGGGGATGGAGAAACTTGACATGTACTTAATGTTGGACTGGTGTTGTATGAAAAAGCAGAGTCTCTGTCAAGGCTTAATGCTGTGATAAAACATCCAAATGCTCTTCAACAAGAGAATTTGATGGCGTACGACAATGCAGTTTCTGCATTGGGGAAGATATGTCATTTCCATCGTGGAAGTATTGACTCAGCTCAGGTGAATAGTTTTTATATTAGTTGGTTTCATGGAATTTATGCATGGCTGTTTGGTCTTTGGTGATTATTTATTGTTTAGGAAATTAGGAATTGATTTAGGTCTTCAAATGTTGTGCTGAATGAATCTAAATGTTACCTGATATCATGATGTTTTAGTGGCATGCTTTTAAGTCATAGGCTGTACTGGAGTTTCACAATATGGCTCTACCATAGTTCAGATTGGTCAATGTGGTCTCATATATGGCTCAAGATACCCCCAAATTATGTAAAAAAATTATATTAATGCTGTAATACACGTCTGCTACAAAAGACATCCGAGCCTGAGAATCATATTCTGTCCAACAATGTTTGTCACTCCATCCTATGTTTTCATTCCTATGATCCTTGAAAACTTATACTCCACCCCATGTTTTTCTTTCCGCTTGACTTTTTTTTGGTCAAACATTATAAATTTTGACTACAAATTGCTCAAAAATTACATTGAGTTATGATATAAACTTAATATCAATAGCTTCATTTTGAAATGCAATTTTCATATTTCATATTTTTACAAGATACATTTATGCATAAATGCTGGCATTTATGGTCAATGTTTGCATTGGAGACAGTAAAAAGTCAAATGAGAAGAAAACTGTAAGATGGACAAAGTAAAAGGTTTGAGTAACTGGAACTCCCGCAAACATTTCCGGAACATCCTTTTGGGATTTTTGCCTTTTTGAAACATCTCTTTCTTTTCTATCATTTCTTGTAGTTTGGAAACACATTCCGGGGAAAAAAAATAATTATGCTACGAGCTGGAACATGTAGATTTTTTAAAATGGCACTATTAGTGTTTATAAAGCATAACAACAATGCTTTATTTGAAGTAACGTGTGACTCCATAATATGGAAAGTAATATAGTAATGTTTACACTGATGTTATGTCACTTAATCTGACTCAGATATGGTGAATAAATTTTCTTAGCTACTGTTATCATTTCTATTCATGTGATCTTTTTTAAGCCTTTTGATGCATTGTTACCTTGAAATTTCTGTTATCATCTCTATTGACTTTTTGTCACTTGATATGACGCGTATATGTTAAATGTATTTTCTTATCTGTTTATTCCCAGGTTGTGCCAGCATGGCTGCATTGCTTGCCCATAAAAGGCGATTTGATCGAAGCAAAAGTTGTACATGAGCAGCTGTGTTCAATGGTGGAACGGTAATAGATCACAAACTAAATTACATGAAGAGATTAACCATTCAAGGGAATGCTGGAAACAGCATGCCTTATTGCTATAAACTCAAACGTCTGAAGTGGCTTGGTTGTGATAACAGATTTGCTTCATTTAAATGTTTTGTAGGTCCGACGCTGAGCTATTGGGTCCCAACAATCAGTATCTTCCTAAGATTGTTTCAGTTTTTGCCGAGGTTTGTTCTCTACTTCTCTTTCTGGTTCTCTAACACATGCAGTTATGTTACATGCAATGTTTTTAATACGACTCCTAACATTAGACACACATACTTAACATGTGAAATATGTTCCACCCTTTCCTAATTTTTTTACCCACTTTCCCCTTTGGACATACCAACAAAACCTCCCACTTTATTTCCTTAGTTAGTAATGAACATGCGGCTCATAAGATTTCTCTGGTATAAACACATTCTAACCAAACAATTATCACTTTCCAACACCTCTCTTGAATTCTGCTAAAAAAAGATGTTAGCAAACTGAACCCAGATTTTCCATGAGATCACTTCTCTCATTCAATGAAATATTTTGTGCTCGCCTACACGTAGGTGTTATGTGCCGGTAAGGATCTGGCAACGGAACAAACAGCCAGTAGAATGGTTAGTCTGTTGAGGCAGCTTCAACAGACACTACCACCGGCAACCCTGGCTTCAACATGGTCATCCCTTCAGCCTCAACAACAGATGGCTCTTCAGTCCATTCTATCATCTTAGTGCCTGCTTCTTAAGTTGGAAAAGAGGAAAACGCTCAAACGCCGTCTTTCTTCTCCACAATGATGATGAAACTTGTGGGCCCCGCTGTTGTTCATTGAGAGGTGAAATCAGATTTATATTTGAATTGTTGATTCTTTGTGTCGTGAAATGCCATTCATCGTCCACCGTTTGAGCTTGGGAAAAAAATATGCAAGCAGAGATGTATACATTTTTTTCTTTTAGTTCTTGTTTCATTTTGGGGTTTGGAAGTGTATATTTGTTGTGTCAAGCCATTGGTTTTGGGGGGGATTCTATTTCAGTTTAGCGAGATCTATCGGTTTCCCCCCTTTTGGTGACCGTTTTGTGGTTCAAGGGTTGTCAGGGAGGCAGTTCTTGGCTCAGTTTTGTCCGGGCATCTTTAATTTTTTTTTTAAATATAAATTTTTTCATCCAGATTGTGACAGAACAAGGAGATATATCAAACTTTTGTTGTTTTGGTTGATAGAGTTTCATGTTGCTTAACATATTATCATTGACCACCCACCTTTCACCACATTGGTTCACAATCATTGACACACACATACATCTGTTACTTTTCACAATACCCATTGAGGTTGGGGTGAGAAGTAAAGGCAAAAGTTGGAGTGACTTTAGTGTTTTTTCGCATTGTTGGTCTTTTCTTTATCTATGCTTCCCATTTGTTTGCGAAAACTATATTCTTGAACGGATGTCGAGGAAGCCAAAATAATCATGCCCATGGGGTAAAACCTCGGTGGTCACGTGTCTGAACTTGTGACTTTAGTGTTACAAGTTCAAGTAACGGACCAACTCGTATCGGGCTTTCCAAACTTCAAGCCAAATAATGTGTCTTTAATCCCCACAAAGGGATTATGAATTTATATATATATATATAGACACACACACACACACATATACTTGTATGTTGTCATTTGCTTATGCCTTCTTTTCATATCGGATTCTTTTGTCCACCTTTCGAAGTACTTTATGCTACTAATGCACTCTTTAGGGGGTGTTTTATACCCTCCGTCCATGATTTTTTTCTCTTACGTGTTTTAATGTTTGAATATATTTGTTTTACTCTTATATGAAAATTGATGCATAATTAAACATAGAGTGTAAAAAAGAGTCCATTGCTATCGATGAATAAATTGAATAAAGTTTGAGCTTGTAAATAATGAATGAATTTTTTTAAAGGGAGTGAGTATTATTGATACTACATTACTACTCCCTCCGTCCCATTTTAAATTGCATATTTGCCTTTTTTCTTCGTCCCAAAATAATTTGATTGTTAGTTGTTTTCATAAACTCTTAAAAATAAAATGCTTAAACTACCCCTAAAATAAGTCACATTTATTCACCTTATCTTCTCATTCATCATCATCTCTCCTAAAAAGTAATGCCAATTTCGAAAAATCAACTCTATTTTTTATTTTTCTTAAATATGCCCAAAAGTCAAAATAAGCGATTTAAATTGGGACGGAGGGAGTACGTAAATAAAAATGTTAATTAAATATGGTAAATTGACAATTAGTTCTGGATGCATCAAAACGAAAAAGTCGGCAATGAAATCAAAATGAGGAAATGTTTTTTTTCCAAAGAAAATGAATAGGGTGATCTTGGAAGGGTGGTGGGAGTGGTACACTTGATTTCCCTCTTACATTTTTTCACTGACCCAGAGTTTGGTATCCATCCTCTCAATGACAACAATCTAGTGGAGTTAAAAAGCAAAAGAAATAAAAAAAATTAATTCGAATAGATAGAATCAATGTTAACCAATCTATCATTGGTTGAGCAGAAATGGGAAAGAAAATATATAAAAATGTTAGAATAATAATAATGCTTTCTTTGTCTCAATCTAAATCGCATGTTGTTGTTTATGAATTTTGACTAAAATCACTTTTAATTCAATATATTTAAAATTTTGCATTGAATTAAAAAACAAAATTTATATATTTAAAAACTATATCAAAATACTCCGATATCTATAAAATAAGAAGTGACACAACCATATTATTTTATCAAATGGGTAGTGAAAATGGATAAAAAAGTGATTAAAATTTAATCATGTAAATAGTAAACAAATAATTTAAATTAATAGAAGGGAGTAATAATTCTAATAATTTAAATTAATAGAAGGGAGTAATAATTCTAGCTATGGTATGTACTAGTATTATGATTTGTTCATCATACTTACGTTCATATGTATGCACCATTGATACGCACGAACGCTTTATCTTATTAACACACTCATTTATCAGTTCTTATGTTCAAAGTAACATAATCTTAGGTTACGTTTGGTACACGGAATTCAAATTATGAAATTGAAATTGGAGATAACAATTTCAATTTTACTATTTGGTAGTACAAAAATATGTAAATTTAGAATTGATAGTGCCAAAAATGAATTGTAATTGGAGAATTCAATTTCATTCAAATCGATTCTATAGAAGCACAACTTTCAATTCAATTTCAATTTCATTAATTCCGTGTACCAAACGAACCCTTAGTATATTTATCCGTTTTAACAACTTGTAATTATGACCTTTGTAACTACTAATTAGTATTCCGTATTTATCTTTTACTTCGTACTTCGTATCTTTCTCTCACTAGTTAAGCTACGTAGTACTTGGACCTATTTAACCTCTGTTCTTTTTTGTTGAAAAAAACAGAATTGAATATTAGAAAAATTAAAAGGAATTAGAAAAAACTAAAAGGAATTAGAAAAAATTAGGAGGAATTGGAAAATGTTGGAAGTAAGAGTTATTGCTCCAAAGAATAGAGTCTTAATTGGAAATTCTCATTGGAATTAATAATCAATTTCTTTGTACTCTCTCCGTCCCTATTTTGATTACAAATTGTGGAAAACGAAGAAAAATCTCGAGTTTTTAATTTAACTTTATTTAAAGATTCAGACATAAGTAAAAAATAAATTTACATATTAAAAAAACACATCAAAAGCTTTACAAAACAAGAGGCGACAAGAATATTTTATTTTATCAAATAATCAATGAAAATAGACAAATAAATAAAAGTTATCGTGATTTTGGAATAGTAAACATTGTAATTAATTGTGGGACGACGGAGGAGGTATTATTTCATTCACATCTTTTTTATGGTTGAGAGAAGAGTTGTGAGCCACTCTTTCTATTCTTTACATAAAAGAAGATTTTTTTTTGTTAAACAAAAAATAAAATAATACGAAGGAAAACCAACACCTAGATTACCAATCTAATTTTGAAATAGAATTGACAACCCCTTTTATCAAGATATCAACAATTCAACATAGTGTCAAGATGAGATATAGAGAACTCGTTACTCTTTAAGAGAAACTTTATCTCGCCAAAAATGAATGGAATTCAAGTATGACCTTGTTTGGGAATGATGTTTTCAATTAGCATTAGTATTTTAAATAAAATTTTAATGATGTAGATTAATTCTTAAAATGCTAATGCTAAAAGCTATCGTCAGATAACTTCATTAATTTAAAACACTACGATGACCTCTAATGCCGATGTCAAACAAATAAATACAAGCAGTTGAGATATTTACTTATACTCATAAATATGTACAATATTAAATATATTTAACAAATATAAATATTCTAAAAATAAGAAACAGGGAGTCAGGGACTATAAAAAAATAGAAGTGAACAAAAGTAGAAAACAAAAGCAGGATAACGAAAATAAATATTCTAAAAAATACTCCCGTCGTTCCTAAAAGATTGTCACAGTTTGATGCTTTTGGTCCAACTGTGACATTCTTTGACCACGAATTATAGAAAAAGTATATCTAGTTATAATGTAAATTTTGTAAAATTGGGTTTATTTTAAAATATAGATTTGAAATATCAAATTTTTATAAGATCTAATTATTTTGAACTATATTTAATTCGTGGTCAAAAGACGCTACAGTTTGACCCAAAAAGTTTAACTGTGACAATTTTTAGGGACGTAGAAGATTAAGCTGAATTCGAAGGCACATCAGTTACCGAACATATCAATAAGCTGAATTTGATCTTAACCAAACTTGCGTCATTGAAGATTAAGTTCGATGATGAAGTTCAAGCTTTACTACCGCTATCGTCTTTACTTGTTAGTTGGTCCGGAACGGTTACAACGGTTATTGGTTCAGTGGGACCCAATGAATTTACTTTCGATCAGATACGAGATCTCGTTCTTGGCGAGGATGTCAGAAGAAAGAGTTCAGGGGAGTCATCTCGTGAATTGCTTCATGTTGGTAGAGGCAGAAGAAATAACAGAGGTAGCTAGTGGGAGCAAGAACAGACAAGTGAGTTAGTTGAAGACTCGTGACAACTCAGGTGTAATGTGCTGGAAGTGCAAAGAGGTGAGGCATTTTAGGAGTCAATGCCCGAATAATAAGAAAGTGAACATTGCTGAAGGCTCCGCGAGTGATGAGGAGGTCACTCTTACTTGTTGTGGAAGTTCCGAATTGAAAAGTTCGATGATACAGATTTCAAATGAAGGAAGATGCAAATTGAAAATTTGTTGGTTCAGAAAGATTTAGAGGTGGTTTTAGGTGACAAACCAGAAAAATATCGGATGGATATTGGGCAGGTTTGGATCGAAAAGCTATGTTCCTAATCCGTCTCTCGTTAACCAAGAATGTTGCTTCAACATTCTGAAGGAGAAGACATCGAAGGGAATTATGGAAGCTCTGTCTAACATGTACGAGAAGTCATCTGCGGCGAATCAAGTTTTTCTGATTAGAGAGCTGGTGAGACACCACAAGTGAAATAGAAATTCCTTTTGTTGCAGTCGTGGATTGGGGAAATCGAACCACGTTAAATTCTTGTGTGTCATTGTATTCCGTTCTCTCTCTTGATTCCAGTAGATTATTTTTATGTGTTGTGTCTTGAATTCTCCAACAAGTGGTATTGGAGCCAAAGTCACGAGTTCGATTCCCAGCGGGAGCAATTGTTGAGGGGGAGATTGTTGGCCATGTGTGCACCAATTGTCCCGTGGCGGATGCTATGTGGACCAAGTCACAATCGAATGTCGTGGGCGCTTGTGTGATGATGCACTATAAAGCTAGGGTATGCGTTTCTTTTAAAACCAATTAATTTTAGAAGAGTTGGTAACGTCTGAGGTCATACAAGAAAGAGAGACTATAGAAAAATAGTGGTGAACAAAAAATGAAGTTTGAACCAAAAACAAACTTTTGAATCTAACCATATCCAAACATAATCAAGAATATAATTAAATGAAATTAAAGTAAATACCAATTACAACCGTATTGGTCTAGCAAGTAGCAACCAATCACTGGAGTCCAGGAGCAGTTAGTTATTCCATCCTTTCTTTTCACAAGTCTATATTTATTATTCTTTTTCGTGTCATACTTTCATCAGTCATAATAATTAAAAATATAAATGAATTAAAATATAAATTTACACTATAAAATTATATTTAAAATATTTTTATTCTACTATTTTTAAAATAATTTTTATAATAAATTTTTAGAAATTAATATTAGTCAAATGCTTAATATAAAAGTGATAGGACCGATTTTTTTATATGAAAGGAATACACTATTTTTTAGAGGGATCGGATGTACTTGAAAATGCCAATGAGGATTCTCATATCTAAAAAATATATCCCTTGTAGATAACCTCGTTTTTGTTTTCCAAAAAAAGTGGAACGCCCATCTTAGGTGCCCCACACTCCAACCCGATAAGATTGTGAGTGAGTAAATCATGATATAATTTCAATCTTGTATTTAGAAAGGTTGTCTCATGCCCGATGCACACAAAGAACAATTACAAATGCCGCTGTCAGGACTCGACCCTAAGATCAACAGGCTTGACATCCTCCCGTTATGCCAGTTGATCTACTCATGTGCGCAAGCTTTTGTTTTCTAAATCCCATAGGCCAGTTGATCTACTCATGTGTGGAAGTTTTCTCGATCCATTTACCCTACGAGATAAAGGATTCCTTAGTTACTCTCTTCGTTCACAAAAGTTTTTTACTCATTGATGAAAATTGTTTTAAGATAATTTTATAGTATTTTTTCCCATGTTTTTCCAATAGAAGATGTGAATTAAAAAATTTGGAGTTCGTTGTTGATATACAATAATACGACTTTATAAATCAATAAATAAATTGAAACATATCTAAAAAGACAAAGTTAAATACTATTTTTAGTTATTATAAAAAAGACGAGTTTTGCCTTTGCTAACCGTGAAATATTTTTTTTGTTATTGTCATCCCTATAAGAAAAAATGTAAGAATTATTAAATGTAATAACTAGCACTTCTAATTAGATGAGATCGTGCATTTTCTACCTCCGTCCGGAGTATTTGTCCAGTTTTGACTTTTTTCAGTTAACCATTACATCATCATTTGACTTTTTTCAGTTAACTGTTTTCAACATTTAGATAAATAAATATTTTTATAATATTTTATATAAAAAATTTCATAAAACTATTTTTATATCAATATCTCATATCATTTTTATTTAATATAGGGTCAAAGTTTACCAATTTTGACAAAAAAAGTTAATAGTGGACAAATATTCCAGGATAGAGACTAGAGAGTATTTGATAAAACTAAGTTGTTGATGATGTAATTTGATAGAAGATATAATTTAAGACATAAGAATTATCACTGAAATAATTAGAAATACAAAATTAAGTTATTGAGTACGAAATAAATTTACTATGTCAACAAATAAAATATCTTAATTACATAAATAAGAACCATTTAAAAAATAATTATTTTTATAAGAATGACTTTTAGAAATATGTTTTACAGAGGCTAAAGATAAAGCTTCCCAATTTTACAAGGATTAAAAACATACTTTATCCTTTTAATAAAACAAATTTTGGAACAAGTGATTCAAAAAAAAGGAAAAAACAAAACAATAAAAACAAGTGGGATTAGAAGAGGAGCGGAAAAAGCAGGGAGACAGTTGAAAGGAAAGGGAAAGCGGTGGGGCGGGGTGGGGTGGGGGGGGGCGAGATGATGTATTTGGCGACAACTCATCATCCTCATACATATGCCACCTTACTATTTCTTCTTGCTTTCCCCTTTTCTTCCATTTTATTTTTTCATTCATTTACTTGGGAGAATTAATTAATTAATTAATTAATTTTTCACCCTCAAAGAAGAAAGAAGAAGAAGAATTTGATTTGAATCCAATCTCTCTCTCTCTCCTCCACAAATCCCGGTTCTTGATTTCTACTCAAGTTCTATCTCCGAAGCTTTTAATTTCACTGCTCTCCACACCATTAAAGCTCCAACCTTTTTTGCTCCCAAATCAAGAAAACAGAAACCAGGTATGCCCTTTCTCTTTTTCTCACTATTTCTATTGTTTTCTTGACAGATTAACATTTTTTCCTTGTTGGGATTATATGTTTCCGGATTGGAAATTCGAGTTTTTTGTTATAAATAAAAAAAAGGTGCAATTTTTTTTTAAATTTTTTCTTGGAATATTACTATACATGAGTGAGTATATATGATCATGTTAGTCACATGCTCTAGTTTGGGTCGTTTTCTTTCTTTCTTTATTATCTGTGTTTTAATTTTTTGAATTCCTTGCATATCTGTATAATTTTCAAAGTGATCTTTAAAAAGAAACAAAAAAAACTTTGCTTTAGAACAATATATACATGGCTAGCTGAATATTATTGGGATGCAACTTGAGCAGAGGGTGCATATATATCTATTCTAGATGAGTGGTACTCTATTTGAATTGGTATTAACTTTAGTGTTTTGAAAATGCTATCCAAATGTAGCTTTTAGCATTAGCGTTTCCAAGCTTATTCTGCACCATTAAATGAATATCCAAAATGCTAATCCCAATTAAAATGTATTTGCAAGTTGGGAGAGCTGAATTGGTCTGATGAGGCTCTAGATTTTTGCTTAGTTGTGGCAGTTGTTGGAAGGGTTTCCACCTTCTTCGTGTTTGTTTTTTCCTCCTCGTTTTGGAAAATCTTGTTTTAGGGTTTTGTACATTTGTGTTTTTCGCTAAGCAGTTTTTTAAAGATATTTTCATTTTGTTGTCCTTCCTTTGGTTCTTACTTTCTTTGAAGATTTAGGGTCTAACAGAAACGTTCTCTCTGCTTTTATGGTTGTTGACGTTTATTTTCCCTTTATGGTCCAACGTGTTAAACCATTGCATCGTTTAATCAGATCGCAGTTGCTAGCTTTGATCTCAGACATGTCAAGTACAGATTCCAGAAAAGTCTCGTGTGAAGATATACAAATGGTAAGAATTTATTATTCTTTTGTGGGATTTTTCTCGGTAAGGATTAGACAAGCGTATACTCCCTTTGTCCCAAAATAAACTTAACTTCACAAAGCTTAACAAAAGTGTTGAAAACTTTATGGTTGTAATTTGTTTATTTTGGGACAACCACAAATGGAAAGTGAGAAATTTATTTCGGGACAGAGTTGGTATAGTCGGTTGATAAACTTTGTAAATTGATGAATTTGTCATTGCAGGTGCAGAATCGTATAGAGCAGTGTCTTCGTTGCTACATGAGTCGAGAAGAAGTGGTTAATGCCCTCTTCATTGGGGACAATATAGAACCTAACTTTACTCAGATCGGTACGTTCATCCAATCCGCATTCGTCTGTTGTGAATCATAATTTTTTGCATTTTTTGGAAAGTCAACATTTATCTCTTTTCAGGTTGTGTTTTTTAGAATTTTATATTTTTCTAATTATGCTTTGAAAAAATTGGCGTCGTGTATTAAGAAGTTACAGTATCTACTTGTAATATCCAGTTTGGCAAAAACTCGAAGAAGAAAACGAGGAATTTTTCAAGGTATATTTCTTGAAGTTGATGGTGAAAGATCAGATTTTGAAGTTCAATCAGTTGCTTTCAAAGCAAGTGGCACTAATGCATCAGTTAGGACCGAATGCCATTTCGTCTTTGCCCGTTTCTAGTGGCCCTCGCAATTCACCTAGTAAGCGTTAAAATTTAGTCCTTCTGTCCTAAATCTTTTTTTCCCGTTTTCCTTTTTTGGGCTGTCATGTGTCTTTCTTCTCCTTTCCTTAAATGGAAATACTGTTTACTTTTTTACAAGTAAAGACTACTTTACCCTTACGTGTGCAGTATTCACCTTTTTTACATCTCTCTTACACTAGAAGGGCAAAAATGAAAAGTCAAATATTTTTTGTCTCACCACTCTCACATTAAAAAAACATGTCAAGTCCAAACTAGAAAAAAGTAACAATCAAGGTCGTGTTTTGTTTGGTAATATTTTTTCGATTTGTGTTTTGCGTAACATATACTCGAAACTTAATTTCTCGTCTTGTCCTTGTGTTTTATTTACTCGAACCTGCTTTGACTAATTGTAATTTTCAGCCATTGGGTCGAACTCCATTCGCCCGTGCATGCAACCGGTAGCTAGTAATGTGTCTTCTCGGATCGGAAAGATTGACGTTTATCCGAGCGTAGTCTTACCTTCTCAAGCGGCAAACATTAATGGGAATACGATGAATGTGGGGCCAAGATATGACCATATATCACCTTTTGACTTTGTTGGGCATGGGAACTTGTTTGAGTCTTGCGTAGGCGATGCGTCTATCTCGTCGTTTAGTAGTGCCGAGTCTAATGCGCAACACCCAAACGAGGCTCTCGTGGATGACTCGTCTTGGTTTCCTGGAAACTTCCATTTGGCTCACCTCACACCGGACTTCATTTACAACAATCCAGGTACCCTTACGTCCAATTGCTTTTATTATTTGCAAATGTGTTGGTGTATAAAACATTTATTTGACCTACAACCACAAGCTATATCGTGTTTGGTTTTTTGAACTTTTGGTTGAGTTAGTTTTCTGCTTATCGTGTTTACATTTTATACACATTATAGATTTACTAGAGAGCTACTCGGGGCCTCCTTTTCTTGCCAACGATACAAGCAACTTGCACGATTCATATGGCGCAGGTGAGGGCACCCTTGTAATTTTACAATTGCTTTTTGTTTTGTCTTTTTAAGGCTTGTTTGGTTGGCGTGTTTTAGAGGGGATGAGTATTTCTTCTTATAACTAATCTGTATTTGTTTAGCCCCTCCAACCAAACAAGGTCTTAGGCTTATTGCTCAAAGCCTCAAACTTAATTTCTTCTTGGATATGATCAGGGGACATTGAAAGGTTCAACAATTCATCAGGCTTGACGCATGAAGAGTTTTAGCCGTGACCGATCTTAAGGTAATGCCCGTTTTGGTTTCGACTGAATTTATTTTCAATTCAAGATATTTAAAAATTGCTGTAGAATTAAAAAAATAAAAATTATACTCCCTCTATTCTCTAACGCTGTTTTTATCTTGCCACTTTTTTTTTGTGGCAGACCTCATGAATCATCTCATTCTCTTCTAAAGAAAAAAATGTTTGGTTTATAATAGGATAAATTTTCCCATTTAAAATTCTCCTACTCGCATTTTCATATGTTTCAAAATATTTTCTTCAATTTTTTTAAACCTTTCCCTTTTAGAAAAGAATATGTTGTCCATAAATCTCATCTCTTTTGAACAAATTCTAACCACTCAATTTTCACAATTAAGCATTTTCCAACAATTTATTTCATCTCCGTGATGTCAAAGCTATTAGAATGAGTAAATTGCATTGTTTACCCCCGTACTCTTTAGAAATTGCATGCTTTAGCCCTAAATTTTAAAAAGTGCACCGATTACCCTCAAACTCTTCGAAAATTGCACGATTTACCCCTACACACTAAAAAATGCACCAAATACCCTTGAACAAATTAAAACATTGCATCGTTGGTCCTAAACTATTAGATAGGGAGTGCGTTACTTCCACGCACAAGAATTGCGAATATGATTCATCTAGCCCTTGTAAATTCTCCAAAGTACCTTTACCCAAAATTGTCGTCTTTATTTAAATATTCAAGAGTAAACAATACAATTTTCGAAGAGTTCACGAGTATTTGGTGTAATTTTTATTGTTCAGGGGTAAACCGTGCAATTTCTGAAGAATTCAGGAGTATTTGGTGCACTTTTTAAAGTTCAGGGGTAAACCATGCAATTTTCAAAGAATTCGGGGGTAAATGGTACACTTTTCTCCTATTAGAATATAGAGTAAGAAACATTTCCTAGGCCACAACCACAAGTTTCAGCTTTCGGTTGAATTGGTTCTTTGACATGGTATTAGAGCCTTGTTGACTAAGAGATCACGGGTTCAAAACTCAGCGTCACCCAGTTCAAAAAAGAATTAAAGTTTCGCGTGCAATGCTCGTAAAAAGACTACGCCTGCACGTGAGGGGGCGTGTTAGAATATAAGAAACATTTCCCGGGCCACAACCACAAGCTTGAGCTTTTGGTTGAATTGGTTCTTTGACTAAAGCGAGTAAATTAATTCGGGACAAAGGGAGTGAATTGTTTTCCACAACAAACATTCACACAAAAAATTTACACCATAAATTTCACATGATTTTCATATCTTTTTAGTAAAATGTTGCTATTTTTGCTATGATTCTTCCATTTTACTCCTTGGTGCAGGTAGAATAGGAAGGTAGAAACATGTCTATATCCAGAAGGAATTTGCGCAAGCGCTTGTGGGATTGTGTGATAAATAAAAGGGTATATTGGTCCATTGTAGGCTTACCTTAGAAATTTGATACAACCCTAGTAGATTAATGCACAAATAAGTTTTTGTTTTATTACGGTGCCGCGAAGCGGGTTCTTTTGACACCGGTCCTTAGTGTCACAATACGACACTAAATAGTTTGAGAGTCCTATGTTGCTTCATAGGGCTCGGAACCTGGTCCTACCCACCCTAGAAGCCCAAACCCCAAACCCTAACTTATATGTTGTAATGGGGGACTGGGATGGAAGCACGGGTGGGTTTGTAGGGTGTGTTAGGGGTAGGATCGTGTCCCGAGTCCTACGGAGGACCGTAGGGCCACAATATCCTATTGTAGCACCAGATCTGGGTGTCAAAAAACCGTGGTCTACTATTATTACGATCATCGTCTGTATATACACACATATATATTGGATGAAGGTTGCTTTGATTTGGGGCATGCTACAACAACGTATTGCGAATTCAATGTTTTGAGACTCTTGAATGTTGTGGGGTGATCTTTCCAAAGGACACTTGGCTGATTAATTAATAAGTTGGGGTTTTGTTAAATGAATTGTGACCTAATAAATCAATGTCTCTTGGTTAAACAAACGGTCTCAAGCTCATCGCGCACAATTCGGGTTATTTTTTGTTTGGGTCAATTCGGGTTCGGGTTGAGAACTGTATGTTCATGATCTAGTATCATCGGGTTCCGGTCGGCCCAATGGGTTATGGCTTTGGGTTTTTAATTTTTTAAATTAACATTGACACTTAACATTTTTTATTAAATAAATTTAAAATATCAAAATATATGTATTAAATCTATTAGATTATTTTATTTTAAATTATGGAGTAATTTTTAGATATATAAATCAATATAAGGAATTTAAAAAATGCTTATGTTTTGGAAGCAAGTAAGATAATTATGCAATATCATTAAAATTTTATCTGGAAATATAAATTTATACACTAAAAATGAGTAGTAAAGTGTATGATTTTAAAAAAATCTTACATTAGCGGGTCGGGTTTGACCCATTTTTAGCGAGTCATTTCGGGTTCGGTCAACTTCGGATTCGGTCATCAAAACCTTTGTTCAAAACCCAGTGTTTTCAGGTCAGGTTTTGAGTCAAAAACAGGTCGGGTTATTTTTTGCCAGGTCTAGTCTTAGAGCATGCCCAGTGGGGGCTTGGATCCTCTGTCTCGTGTCCCTGTCTCAATTTCCTATCCCACCACTTACATTTTGCCACATACCTGATATGCCCCTACTTCTAAATCCATCTTTGAAGGGTGGTGGGATAGGACGATAGGGGTATAAGTATACAGCCATATAGGTGGTGGGTTTAGAGTTGGGGTAGATTCTGTGGTAGGATGTGAGTGGTGGGATAGTGAGTAGGTACAGGAAGGAGGGACAAAGGATCAAACCCGTCCAATGGTGTGACTCGAATGGATCCCAAGAAAGGCTCTCATGCCACCTTAGAAAAATAGAGATTCAAAATCATTCACTCCGACACTCGGTCCCTCTATTTCAAGCCTCAACTTTAGGTAAAATACAATACTTAATTACAAAACATCATATACGAGTATAAAAAATAAAAAAGAAAAAGTCTCTTGGGATCAATTCATCTCCAATGCAAAAAATTTAAAGTGGGACGCAACCTATGAGAGAGAAAGGGACTTGTGACTCTTTTTTATGCAATGAACATACTCTTATGAGTAACAAATAGAGTGATCAATGGCCCCTAAAGCTAAATTCCTCTATGGTCCTACCGTCCATACTTATTTTGTAGACTTTAGTGTATAAAAATATCATGGATGAATTAAGCTCTTTAAAAAAAAGATCATTATGTTGGTCATTTAAAAATGTGAGAATGTTCATATTTCACATGTAGATCTTAAAATCATGGAAGCACAGCTCATGTTTAAATACCTTGTAGTTGAGTAATTAATTGTGATTCCCGAATGAATGTTACATATTAAATCTCAGCGGGAGTATTGACTTTTTATTTTACTAGGTTGAGAAAATATATATATGAACATATAACACATTATAATAAAATTAATAATACTACTAAAAACTACAAATAGAGCGAATTGATTACATAGTTTGGTGCATACCAGTCTTATATTTAGCGCCTGTTCCAAAGGCTTGGTGGTATGTGCTAGGCTCGGTGGTAGGGAAAGTGTTATCAAGAGTGGTGATGATATAGACTTTTGGCTTGAAGATTCTAGATTTAGCACTGGTTTGCATGGGATGAGTGTTTTGGGCTGGTGTACGGTCGACCATGGTTGTCTGATGGTCTAGGGGATCGACCGCCTGTAGAGTGTCTAGAAGGGGTTGTTGGGACGGTCGACCGTGGTTAGGGGTACGATTTAGGTGGTTGACCGCTTGTAGCGTGCCCCAAATAGGTTGCTGGGACAGTCGACCATGGTTGGAGGTACGGTCGTTTTGCTCGGTTGTTTGTGGCGCAGTGTTGGTGTGCGGTACTCGAATATGCAAGGCTTGGCTTGGTGGGAAAATAGATGTGATATGGGAGGTTGACGAAAGAGACGACAACCTAGAATATAGAAATTGATCATCGACAAACTGAACATGACGAGAGACATATTTTTTGAGACACAAGATCATAACATTTACACCCTTTAATGGTGGGATGATATCCCAAGAAGATACGCGAAGTAGAAGCGGAGCTGAAGTTTGTGCTAGGTGTGAGCTCCAACGGAGGTAGAAGCTTGAATCTTTGTGCATTATTAGAATGAAAAAAATTATGAATGTATACTATAAGACCAAAAAGACAAGAAATATCTCTGGATATGAGTAAAAAAGTATGAAAATATCAAAATAAAAGTCTTAAGTCTTTTAGGACTAAAATAAGAGTATAATGACAATATGGTATAAGATTACACGCTGGCAGTGTGATGGAAAAATGATGACATTGTAGTATATCATTGTGATCAATCAACTGTTGGCAATTCACGACGGCACTGTGGTGGCCGGCGGCAACGGATGATAATGTGGCAGTGATAGTGTAGCAGTTACAATGTGACAATGTAATGAGTTTCGCAGTGTAACAATGACAGCGATTGACAGAAATTATGTTCAAATCATCTTATATGAAAAATGGTGTGAAATTAAAAAATAAAAATTACATATTAAATAATTATATCAATAGATCTACAAAATTAGAGGTGACACAATACTTTATCAGATGGACAACGAAAATAAGTCAACAAGTATAATAAAATTTGACCATGTAAATAGTAAACGAGAAGATAATTTTAGATGAAGGTAATATTTTTTTTTTGTTTTTTGGAGTTCTCCCAAAAAATATTTCGAGTTATAGCTTGGGTGATAAATAATTAAATATAATCGGGTATGATAAAATCGAGGGGCCAAACTGGGGTTTAGACGTCGTTACTCTCCGGCCGTCTAAAGCTTACCGGTCCGACGCTTCGCCGTCTCGGCCACACAAAAAGTGCCGTCCACTGTGTCTCTGTGTGCGTATATATACATTGGCTCTCCATTTCAGGCTTCAGCTCCCACAAATCCGCGAGCTTGTTCTTTCTCTCTCTCGCTCGCTCTCTCTACTCCGTTGTTTTAATCTCAGGGAAATGGGAGAGGAGAAGTCCAAGCCCGCCGGCGGCGTCTGGCCGACTGTGAAGCCCTTCGTCAACGGAGGTTGCTCCGGCATGCTCGCCACCTGCGCCGTGCAGCCCATCGATATGATCAAGGTATGTTTTTTCCTCCTTAAACTCGAAGTAAACTCAATTTACACTGCAGATCTCCACATGAGATCTTCAATCTATGTTGCTCTAGATTGCTATTTGAATCATCCGGCTGGCAATTCCTTAAGCACCGCGAGTTCATGAATCTCAGATCTTGCTGTGCAGCTGCTTTGTTGGGATCTGCATTACATATTACTTGAAAATAAATTGCGCTTAGTTCTGATTTGATTCGTTTGTGATTTTTTAGGTGAGAATACAGTTGGGCCAGGGATCAGCTGGCCATGTTGCCAGGACTATGCTGAAAAATGAAGGGTTTGGTGCTTTCTATAAGGTTTGTAATTAATCTTGCTTTACTGTAATTAGTTTGTCACTTATTTGCCTTACCCATAGATCTGAATTGTGATTTGAATCTCTAGTCAAATTCAAGTCAAAGTATGCTGGTTGAGATGGACCTATACATGTCTTATTCATCTACTTGAAGTTTGCTAGTTAGTCTATTGTTGTGATGCAAGTCATATTCAAGCTCTTCAGGATGCAGGGTAACTTCGAACTGATGCTTTTTACGGGGAAGACTATGGATAGCTTAGTCTATATACTGGATAATGGAATTGAAATGCTGTATGTTTACCTATTATGTTATGGGTGCCTTCAATTTTTATAAATAAAACCTGAATTTTATTCATCCAGACTGCGTTTAAGCTTTCTTCAAGTTCAAATTCATTCGGTTTTAGTTAGATCCTACTTAACTTGGTTAATCATTGCCTAGGTGTTAGCTCTCCTAGATGTCTAAGTATTTTTTCATGGTCAAGCTCACATTTTCCTCCCAGCTCCTGTTACAACATTGTGATTGACCACTTTGTCTATCATGCATATGTACCATATCTATGGAGCTAACCTTTCTCTTAACATCAACTTGCCATGTGAAACAGGGTTTGTCTGCTGGACTTCTTAGGCAAGCTACATATACAACCGCCCGGCTTGGAACGTTCAGGTGAATTCTTGTGTTCTTTAGAGGAATTGAGACTGCCATGTTATTAACTTGGGATTTTTTATCACAAAATACCCCCGACCAAGAATCAAGAATTATCTTATTGATGTTTGAAAGACTTGATATCTGTCTTTGCCTTGGTTGGGAGTGTTAAATGAGAGCTATTTCTATCGTGTAATTGTTGATGCCACGTTCTTTTCTGTTTCAAGCTTTCAACTCCTTGTATATTGCTCCTACTGCTTTGTAATGAAAAGCATGTTTGGTATTGAAATTCTTGTCCTGAAGTTGAAGGAGCATTGTCAGTGTATACCTTCTCTTTGAGGGCCTGTTAGGAACTTGGAAATTAGTTGGGAAAGAAAGCATGAAGGAAAGTACGGAGTATCATGGAAAATTGGAAGGAAAAAAAATGCAGGGGATAATATAAGGTTAATATTGTTGAATTTTAAAAGAACTAATCATATTGCAGTTTCCTTGGGAGTGTTTGATGTGGAACCCTATAATAATTTAAATATCTTTTGCATATTTTAAACCAAGTAAATGCATCATCATCATTACTATGAGTTTTGATTGATTTTTTCCCCTTTTCTGATTTGGGGGGTTGTGCAACAGAATCCTAACAGACAAGGCCGTGGCAGCCAATAATGGGAAGCCTTTGCCTCTATACCAGAAGGCACTGTGTGGACTAACT